ACGGCCGCTCACTGCGGCTGCTGGCCACTCACGCTGGCTGCTGGCCACACACGGTAGCCCATGGCAATCCACTGCCACAGGGACTGCAGCCCACGCCATCGCCGGCGACTCATGGCAGCCCAGCTCCAGGTTGAGCTGTTGTTCAGCATCTCAGCTGCAGAGGGCAGTGTCACTGGCCCTCATATGTGGGATCCGAACCGGGGCCCTCTGGCAACCCAAGCAAGTTCTTAACCATCGCGCCACTCGGCCGGCCCAGAGAGCGTTCTTTCGAAGCCTGTCCCACACGAGCCTCTCCGTGTGTCAGTGTGGGAGCACTGATGTTTGCCCCACACCAGGCCTCCTGAACCCCACCCCATGGAGCCTGCCACCCTGCTGGAGGCCGCGTGGAGCCCGGCAGGTCAGGCTCTCGGCCTGGAAGAGCCCACCTGGAGCCTGTGAGGCACATTTCCTGAGCATCCACCCGGCTGTCCCCTCCTGGGTCCTACAGGGCCTGTCCTGCTGTGTGCAGCCTGAGGCTCTACGCCCGACACTCACTGCACGGTCGTCGGGTCCGTCGGCTGTGGCATTTTTCACACTCAGAATTCTGTCATGGGTCCGGGAGCGGCCGCCCTCTTAGCAGGTAAAGGACGGCTGCTGCACGTGGCGGCTGGGCGCCGGTGACCACTGGCTGAGGGGTGGAGATGTCACCCCAGGAGGAAACAAACAGTTCCCTCCCTCCCTCGTTCACTCTCCACGAAGGATTTGACTTTCTTACGACAAACTCCTTTTTGAAGAAGCCAGTTTCTGTGCATAATTGTTCGTAGAATCGTGGGCCCGGCACCTGCGTGACTGTGGGAACATGAGGAGGGAGGTCCCTCGCCGAGGCCTCACAGCGGCTGCTGACACGGTGGCCCTTGCAGCCCGGGTGGCTTCCTGTCCCCCCAGTTTCCCCGTTTGCTGACAGGGAGAGCTCATCCGTCTGTCAGCCTGTTTTAAAATCACAGACACCCTTTAAAACAAGATGGCATTAACTGTGGCCTGGTCAACTTCCGAAAACTTTCTCCACCTGAACAGGGCCCATCAGGAAACCCAGGACCTTGACCCCGTCTCTTGCTGGAGTGGGTTTGTCCGCTGGCCCCCGACTGCTGAGCTCCCCAGGGACGTCGGCTGATCCAAGAGGGAGCTTGTGTCTCCTTCCTATAAGGGCCATGGTTTATAAGTTGGGGGGACTCGGGGATCCCATCTCATGTGTTCACCTGTGAGGACAGCCAGCCCTCCCCGCCCCCCGGCCATGCAGCCTCAGGAGGTGCAAGTGCTCCGTGCTCTGCATGTGGGGGGTGGGGACACAGGGACACAGGCAGGAGCAGGTTCAGCTCAGGCCCTGCCTCCCGGTCGCTTGCCGCTCCTGCGAGCACAGCATCCGTTTGCACTTCCTGCCAGGGCCTGTCATCATGCCCGCCCTTTCTTCTTGCTGCCAGCGGCTCAGACAGCGGGATGGGCATTTGCCCCACGTAGGCCACAGGGCTTTAAAGAATCCGTCGCCTTAGAAATTTTAAGGCTCATCCCCCTGATTCTGCGTCTAGGGGGAGTGAGTGGGCAGCCCGTCGGGGACTCTCCCCACATCCTGTGGGACTGGCCCCTTCTGCCTGGTGTGATCCGGTCCCGGTGGGCACAGCCACCTGCCCTATGTGACCAGGGACACGCCATTCAACCCAGGTGAGCCTCGATGTCCTCACAGCAGAGGTGGTGACAGTTCCTGCCCCGCCGTGTTCTTGTAACGACGCGGTGAGAGGCTGTGCATTAAGCGGCCGGCACCCGCCTGGGCTTGGCGTGGGGGTCCTAGCCCGCTGCAGCTGTGTCACCGGCTCCTGATCCCCACAGCGTGTCCCTCACTGTGGCGGCAGACAGGCCCCTCCGAGCTGTAAGGAGCTTGTGAGCCTGGGGCCATCCTGCTCACAGCCTGAGAGGACCTAGCGAAACGGAAAAGCCAGAGGATGTGTTAACGGCGTGGTTAAAACTTCAAACTCAAGTACCAGTGTTTCTGTGGAGCCAAACCCCGATGCGAGACAGACGCTGCCCAGGGCCGGGGTCTCGGTGAGAAGGCTGCCCAGCGAGGGGCCCGCTGTCTTCACACCTGAGCACTCGGTCGTAAAAGGCAGAGAGCTCAACGTTTAATAGCCAATGCTACGATGTGTACGGCTAGTCCGCTTCTTCATTTCTCTAAATAAAAACTTCTCTGCGATCGAGATTAAAGCTGATGTGCTACTTTCTATGATTTAAAAGTCTTGAAAATGCCTCAGAAATATGAATGGAGCTTAAGCGTCTGCTGGCGGGGCCTTGTTGTTGGTCAGCGTGTGCGTGGGTCCTGGGAACACACGTTCTTCCCAGCCCTCCTGACCAGGCGGAAACGGACGCCGTCGCCTCAGTGTCCACGTGAGCCAGGCCCACTGAGGGTGCGGGGAGCCACCGCCAACTGGCGTCTTAGCCCAAAGGGACCCCGATGGTGGAGAGAGGCAGGCGGCCCGACGAGGCTGTGTCTGAACTCGGCCCCATTTGTGTTTGTTGCAGGCGCTAAAGAGATCGACATCGCCGCCACCCTGGAGCACCTGCGGGACCAGAGGCCGGGCATGGTCCAGACGAAGGTACAGCCGCGGCGGGCGGGTATCCGCAGCGCCTCTCGGTGGTTTCTGGAGGGGAGGGAGGTGCAGGCGCCACTGGCGGCTTCCTGCCAGACCCGCCCCAGCCGGGCCCCTTCCCGGGAGGGTCACTGGTGGCTGCAGCACCCCAACATGTCAACATAAAGATACAGCCAGGTCTCGTGATCGGGACTTTTCGTTCCCCAGATTTGGGGCCCGGGAGCACTGCATTTATAGAAGGAGGTCGGCAGTGCCCCTGCTCCCTTGCAGGGGAGGGTTCTGGACTCACTCAGCTTCGCTGCAGCCTCCCATATTTCCGGCTCCCACAAGCACAGCTCTGCTGTGTGGCCATCAGGACACGGCCATTGGAATGTCCCCAGGGTGCGCGGGGGCCCTGAGCTCCCTGAACAGCTCACGTGCATACTTGCTAGCAGGCCAGGGTTGCTACCACCGGGGTTCGGGCAGCCGGTGGCCTCGGGGACCAGAACTAGAACAAGGCGGATGTACCGGCCCCGCGTGCCAACCACGGAAGCCGCACGTCCGCCCTGCCAACCCTCAGGCTCCGACACGCCTCTCTCAGGGGCCCTGACACTGGGCTGCGGCTCTGCCCACACACAGCGCCCGACATCCTGCAAAACGACCTCTGTGTACTTGAGGCCTTTGTTATAAAAAGCGCCCATGTGACATCGAGCTGCCAAAACGCCTGTGACTTGTGCTTGGTGCCTGGTGGTGACAGTCCTGGGGTCACAGGCCAGCCGTCCAGCCCTCGGGGTCTTGCTGTCCCCCCCCCATAAGGTGTGAGTGGTTCCTCGATCCTCTTTCTGTCCCTGTTACAAGGAGAAATCAAACAGTAGGAGGCGGTATTGCAGCTTGAGGGGAGAGCGGCCGTCGGGAGCCCCCACCAAGCTGAGGATTAGGGAGTGAAGCCCCTGTGAGGCGGAGCCAAGCCCATCGTGACCAGGGAGATGCTGGCAAACTGCCTTGATGGGGCCGCTTGGCTGGTTCTCACGGCCAAGGTCGGCCCAGGCACTGGAGCAAGAGGAGCTTTGCCTTTCTTATGGGGTCACACGAGCGCTCTCAACAGAGCCGGCGGAGTCAACCCCTCTGCCCCAGCCTTGCCCTTTCCAACCAGCAGTGACATCGGCCTGAGTCTTCCTTGGCCCTGACCCCTGGTGCTGACCCCTGGGACTAGAGGGCGACACACGCAGCTGGCGGCCATGTGCGGGGCCCCTCGGCCCCAGCTGTGTTCCGGCCCCTGTGCCCTGCGGGAGGCTTCCAGGAATCTTATGTGACTAGTGTAGAAATACTTTGTAAACCAAGACACACAGTATGTTTCTTTAAAAAAATTTTTGAATTTAAAATTATGGAATTTTATTTTGAAATTATGCTAATGTGCAAAAACCTTGCAGAAATAGCACAAATAATTTCCAAGTACACTTTGCCAGACCTCATGTCATCACAGTGCAGACGTCAGGACAGGAAGTTAGCCCGACACGGTGCATTCACTCAGCGAGGACCTTATCACATGGCAGCCACGTTTCCCCCACGCCAGTCGTGCAGTGGTGACGTCTCCCTCGCGTCCTCTAGCAGGACAGTCAAGCCCCAGGGTCCATGTAGAGAACTGACCTGGCACAGTTTTGTGGACGGATGTTCCGTGGTGGGTGCCAGGTATGCGGCTGGGCATGGACGCCGTGTGTCCCCACTCAGGAACAGCTGGGTATTCAGGGCCGCTTGCGTCCGCCAGGGCTGCCGCTGGCCGGTTGTCTTCCTGGGGCAGAAACTTGACCCTGGTCACATCTGTTGTGCTTTGTCGTGGTGGGAGGCCATCGGGAGAGGAGGTGACGCTGTCCCAGGACAGGTAGCCACAGGGCCTGTGCCCGTGGAAGGTCCGTCCCAGTGGACAGACCGGACCACCAGGAGGTGGCCCACCGGGTTCAGAAACACAGGGTTGGCTCGCTGTCCCTGGATGGTGGGGCCTTCATGGTAGCAGCAGCCCCATTTATTAATCAAGTTATCAAGTACTTAAGCCGTCGATTGGGCTTTCCTTAATCAAAAGCTCTTAGCGAGGTGACAGTATGCACAATTGGTTCTTCGCTGTGACTTGGCTGGGACATGCGGCCGTGCCTGGTCACCTACGTCAGGGTTTCTGACGCAGAGGCTGTTGTGTGGGACGGACAGCTGCAAGGACAGTGGCCATTCCACCTGCGAGAGACACGGGCTCTGTCCTTTGTGTGCTGAGGTTTTAGAGGAGACAGCCTGACATCAGTTCCAGCTGACAGGAAGCGTGCTGCGTCCCGCCCCACGGGCACGCCTGTCCGTGGGCACGCTTGTGCACGCGCACGTCTGAGGCCGGGACGCAGTGTGGGGAAGGAGGCGTCCGGCGCGGCAGCGCCGCTCTGCCTGGTCTGAGGAGCGGAAAGCCTCAAGCGGTCGTCACTGTGGCTGCTGGTGGCCAGTGTGCCCTCGCTGGCGTGGTGGCGGGAGCTGTGAGTGCCTATCAGTCTGTCACGGCTTCAGGGGGCCGGGCATGGTACATGCATCTCACCAGCTGTCCTGCCCACATCCTACCAGCCGCTTCCCCCAAGGGCACACCCTGGAGGGGGACAGTGCCCTGTCCTCCCTCAGAAATCAGCCACCTGTCTTTTTTGAAACCAGGGGCAGGGGTGCAAAACAAGCTGTCACTCACGGCCTCCCTCTCTTGTCCCCCAGGAGCAGTTCGAGTTCGCACTGACGGCGGTGGCTGAGGAGGTGAACGCCATCCTGCAGGCCCTGCCCCAGTGATGCCAGCCCGACGACACGGCTGGGGACCGGACACGACTTCACGTGTCTTCTAGTGTTAACTGCCTGGTAACAGGTCCTTCAAACTCCTGTAGTCACACAGTTTAGCAGTTACAACGTGTAGTTTTGTTCAACCAAATAATAAAGAGGTTGTGGGGACACCCAGTTCGGGGGACAGCTAGTTCACCTATTTTCACTTTCTTGAAAAAAATGTAGTTTCCCTTAAAGCCCACATGTTCGTCCCCAGCTGCAAATCGTGTTGTGTTAATACTGGCACCCTACGTGCCTCAGCTTGTAACCCGTCACCTCCTACAGGGGGCCTGTCGGCGGGGCGGGACCCGGAGAGGCTGGCCGGGCGCTGGCCGGCCACCAGGGCACACAGCACACCTGCCATGTGTCTCTAAGATGGCTCCCCACCGAGAGAGGTCACTGGCTTGTCCGGGATGAGAGGGACAGACCTGCTGACATTCTGCAGCTTTGGGCAAATCCTAAGAATATCGTCACAGCATTTCCATCCTGTTCCCGTGCCCTAACCCACAGCCCTGGTGACAGCCCAGCTCAGCCTTCCACCCCCCAAGGACAGGCAGAGGCCTCCCGGGGGCAAAACCTGTCCCGCCCGAGCGCCCGCTTCCGAGGCCAGCCACCCCCGGTGACACGTCACTTTGGCGAGGTTGTAGGTGAGCCCCAAACGCAAGACAGTTTTGTGACTGTAAAAACTGACTCACACGTTGCAAAAGCAGATGAACACATACCACAACCAGAGAGAACAAACCCGGGATGCAACACGCTCCCTCCCGTCGGCACCAGTGGTCCCTCGGGGCTTCCTGGGCCCTGCTGGCACCCAGACAAGACCGAGGAGGAAGGTGGGAACACAGCGACCACCAGGGCCTCCCCCGAGGGAGTCGGGCCCCTGGTCACTCAGGTCGGCCATTGGTCTGACATCACGTAGACACGAGCTACAGGTGGTTTGGATTTGCCAGAGTGACCCCGAGCGTCAGATAGCCCCAACCCCCAGACACAGAGGAGCCATTTCATTAAACTCTGAACGGTCACATCTGAGAGGGCAGCTCTGGGCTGCAGGTCTTGTTTCAGGGCTGGGGACAGAGGGACATGTCCCCACACATTCTCTCCATAAACAGACGTCACATCCCAAAGCCAGCGGAAGAGGGAACGTGCTGAGTGGGGGGAAGATGCCAAACACTGCTCGTGTCTAAACGGTATTGTCATGTGTGTCTGCTTTTATCGCTATAAGTTTTGCCAAAGTTGTTTTCCTTCCTCTGTAATCTAAATAACTGATAGAAACTAATTTATCTGAATATAGGAAACTACACACTGTCACTTATAACTTCTTACGTTTCAGAAGCAATCCTGCCGTGTGAGATACATAAATCTACTTAATTGTGCCAGATTAAACTTCCATTTCACATCGAATGGTCCTTATTTGGGGATGAGAGTTTTTCCGACCATCTGTTCATCCCCGGAAGCCGCGGGGTTGAGGGTGCTGAGAGTGCAAACGCTGCCCAGTCCGCCAGGCTGAGCGTGCAGGGCCTGTGGGGGTGTCCTTGTCCCCCCACCCTCAGGCGTATACAGGGGCACCCCATCTCCTCATGAGAAATGGGCCGTCCCAGCGAGCCTGGGAACTGTCCACTCAATGACATGCCTCCATGTCACAGGAGAACACGCCGGGGACATTTCAAACCCTGACCAAAGGGACGGGGGTGTGATGTGACCACTCGTCCTGGACCAGTTATTTCAGCTGGCAGTGGGAGAGGTCGGGGGCCCTCGTTGCAAACTAGATAATTCCTGAACAGCGCCCACCGACCTGAGGGGTTTGGTGTTTGTTCAAATGCTGATGTTCGTTTCTCAGAAAACCCGCCGCCTGCCTGAGTTCCGTCTGCCAGCCCAGCCCCCTCAGCCTCGCCCACACCACCTGCTGCTCGCCGGAGTCCTGCCCCTGAGTCTCTGCAACAGCAGGTGACACTTCCCGTGACAAATACACATCGGGATTTGACACAGCAGCAGGCAGGGTCCCCGCCCATGAAAATGTGGGAACGCTGGACCAAGTGCTGTGAACACTGTGGTACACAGCCCAGCTCTAAAAAACAACGGGATGGAGGGGCTGGGGTCAGTGAGGGCGGATGGTCGGTGCTGAACCCCACAGGGCTGGGGCTGGTCCCCAGGGCAGTGCTGTGCTGGGAAAGCCTAACACCCAGCTCTGAAAAAGTGGACACACCGGCGCGCGTCCGAACACTGCAATGTGCACACAAGCAGACAGACACGGTCCCCTCGCTGCCCCCCGAGGGCCGGCTGCTTCTATGGAACTGTCGTGTCTGCAGCCACCTGGGGAGGCAGCCGGGACCGCTGTTGACGACGTGACGCTGGGTGAGGGGACAAGGGGACAGGAAGACGTGGGTCAGAGCCTTCCTGGCTCATCACCAGCCAGTGACCTCTCAGTCGCATTGGGTCACAGTTTCTTAATACGAGGGCCGTGTCGTCGGGGGCCCCGTGCTGCCCCCAGTAAGGCCTGCAGGACCACACCATTGATTGGCACTGTTAACGCCTCCTCCATCACCCAGGTCACCGCGACAATGTAGAAAGACGAAGCCCGATTTGTCCTCGGGGCTGGTTTCCATAAATAATACCCTCTGGTGACCTCAGTGGGCAGGTTGAATGTAGGGTTAAATGTAGTCTAAAGAATTAGAAACTGACATGTTTGGAGTATTTATTACCTGTGTTTTAATATAATTTGTCAGCTAATATATAATAGTTTGAGTAGGGGCTGCACTTACCAGCCAGCTCATAAAACTCCTAAACCCCTGACAGCTGTGAGCCTGCCGGGCTGCGGCCTGGGCCCCAGGAAGCCCAATACGTCCCACCTGTGTGTCCACCCAGGTTCTCACTGTAAGAAATCAACCAAGAAAAAGGCGGAAGCGGAAAGAGGGCTGAGCCGCCGCAGTCAGGTGAGCAGGGCGCGGACTGGGCCCCAATCCACCCGCCACACGGCTCTGTCCCCACATGGGCGGCCCCAGCCATGCGCTGCTCCCCGCGTGTCCTCTGTAGGGCCCCGCCCGCGCCATCACCGGCCCCAGTCATTTGCTCCACGGCTGGGCTGTGTCACCTGCGTCAGCCCAGGGCGCCCAGCTCTGTGACAGGCGAACCAGCAGTGCCAGCTGCAGGAGGTGAGTCTGTCCCCAGGGCTGTGTCCCTCCCCCGCCCACTCGGTCGCTTGGTGCCGAGTCCGGAGCCCCGGGAATGGACGGGTGGCAATTTGGGGCCACCAGCCCGGAAAGCTGACAGGCAGCTGCAGATGCTGAGCCCACTGGGAGGTCCTGCTGGGTCTGGTCCAGGCTCAGAGCAGGACCCCGGGCCTGGGCACTCCCTCCTTGGTCTCCCCAGAGCTCCTGGGTGTGATAAGGAGTGAGGGTTAGCAAATCATGTGAGGACGGGCGTCCTCACATGTGACCTACGCACAGCTGATGCTGCTAATACAGGTTTTGCACTCCAAATTCACCTTTTGCAAATCAAATTCACCCTTTTGCAGATCAGATTTCTCCACAAATATGTTTTCTTAATCTTTGCAATAAAAATAAATCCAATGTTAGGCGACAGTTAAAATTAAATATTGTATTGCATATTTAATAATAAACATAAAATACTTATTTAACATCAGAAATACTATAGCAGCGGTTCTCAACTTCCTAATGCCGTGACCCCTTAATACAGTTCCTCATGTTGTGGTGACCCCCAACCATAAAATTATTTTCGTTGCTACTCTATAACTGTAATTTTGCTACTGTTCTGAATCGTAATGTAAATATCTTTTTGTTTTCCGATGGTTTTCTGATGGTTCGACCCCTAAAGGGGTCGCGACCCACAAGTTGAGAACCGCTGTGCTATAGCTTCGTTTATAACGGTTCTCCTGCCACTGCTCGTGGTAATTTCATATACATATTCATAAAATAATCATGACAATATCTGTAGGAGTAATAGTTGCAACGGAATGATGAATAACATTTAAATGTTCATGGTTTGATGGATCAGCCAAAATACTTCTTGTGAACCTGGCACCTCGTTAGGTCTGGTTTATCTGGTGTTCGGATCCGAATCTGGTTTTTCTGTTTTTTTCTGTCCGATTCAGGGAGTACTAGGATCTCTGCCTGTGTGTGTGTGTTTTTCAGGTGCAGCTGTATTTGTTCAAGATCAAAAGTGGGATCTAAGCTTTCCAGGAGCCTATTGGCAAAACATTAGGCCATCGGCAAAATTACGGCTTAGTTGACCAAAAAGAAATTAAGGTTCTGTTACAGTACTGCTTGGCCAATGTATAAATTTGATTCTAGAGGGCGCTGGTTGGTCAGTAGTTCACTGAGTTATTATACTATTTTCGAACTGTAATTGCTCTGTTATAGGCCTGGGAAATAGGGTGAAATGTCTTATGTATAAGCCTCTATGATAACCCTTTATGAAAGAAGGAAACTAAACTGATAGTGCAGAGAAAAGGGGACCCCACCCATCCCCTAATCCACTTATAACCAGGAATGCCTGAGGCTGAGGTAACTAGAGGGAAAGAGACACTTTTAAAACCAAGTGGCTAATTCTCAAGCCAGATCCCCACCCCTTGTTCCAGCCTCTTTGAAATTGTAGGGGCAACTGTAAGACCTTAGGCCCTCTCTGCAATTGTTAATAATTCTGTTGATATGTATATGATCTCTGCTATCTGTGCTTGTTTGTGTTTTATATATAATAGTGTTTTTGCTACCAGATGGCATTACCAGATTATATTTGATTGGCTTAAAGAAAAAAATTAAGTGCTTATATAAATTTAAGTAATAAAAATTAACTAAGTACTTTTCAGGATCATGTGATCTAAAAAATATTTGATATTAAAGATAGTTTAACTTTTGGTTAAATAGGGGTTTTTTTAAGGTTATTAACATCAAATATGGCATCTTTTGTTTTACCTGGGTTTACAAACATAAATTCATGTTATCTCTGTCACAAAATTTGTCAAGAAAATAGCTTGGGTAATAATTACCTTTGAAATCTCATAGAGTTATAAACTGATAAAATGTTAACTAAAATAAGGTTTTAGATAAAACTTTTCAGTAATAATATAGTGTAGATGTTTGGACGAGGTTTCTCAGTATCTGTTGGTAACTTAAGATTTCAGCTTTACTAACTTGTGTTAAATGATAAAAATTATTCAATATGTAGGTATTTCAAAATAACAAAATGCTGAAATATTAATTATTGGGTGAGTCTGAGTCAACCTACTTTTTGATTTCTTGCCACAGGAAGTCTGAAAGATAACTTAAGATCTGTTAGTAAATCTGCTTTGTATTTTCTTGAAAATATAATTTTAAAAATTGGTAGATATATTGCTAACAAAAACCTATACTTCTAAAGGTTGGAAAATGTATTTATGGATTTGCTAAAGGAAATACTGGGTACTTGCTTTTAGTTGTCAGTAGAAATTAAAGTTCTGAAGGTTACGGATTCTAATTAATATGAAAGGAAAATGATGTGTGTTTTCAAGGAAGATATAAGGTACGGAAATGCATTGTTGAAGGAACTGAAAGAAAATAGTTTGTCCTAAGGATGGTTATTTCTTTTTTTTTTTAAGATTTTTATTGGGGACTTGGGCGGATGGGAACAGTGCTGGGGAATT